TGTGCTCATCTTATTTGTACAGGAAGGTTTAAAAAGAAACAGTGCTGAGAAATGAAAGATCAGCAGATCACTAATAACTGTAGTTTCCTGAACAATTAAAGGAATTCACAAGATTAAAACCCACTCAGGAAGTGACAAATATTTCTGATTTTAATGGAAGGACTGAAAGGACATTTTTAGCTATAGTATCTATTCAGCAGGGACCACAGTTAAAGAAAGAAGCTTTTTTTTTATTATTATTTTTCATTTATTTTGGGAGCAAATGTGGTGCTGGTCTGAAATGAGAAAAGTGAACATGTCTCAGAAATGGTAAAAATTCACCTTAAAAAGCATTTGTCAGGGTTTTCTCTCCTATATACTGGGGCTGAGTCTTACCACACAGTTCCCTTTGTGGCAAACTTTTTGTTTGTAATGTGTCAGCAGAAAAGTCCTTTAAGTTACCTCATCTAATTCTTTACAAATATACTTTGGAAGGCTGTCCTCCATGCATCATCCTAACATTGTTTGGTCCCAATAGCACGCCGTGTTTGATGCTCCTGGTCGGGAAAATCTGTTACACATAATAACTGATTCAATAAACTGTTGACAAATGGTTTGTATAATACAGTATGGCCAGTGAGCAAGGTCCATCTCCATCATTACACACCATACTCAAAGCATCCACAAACTCTGCCATGTCTCTCCTTCTTCTGCTAGAGGTACATGCTAAAGCTCTGTGCACCATTCTGAATAGCAATCCACAGATCAATACACTGTCTGCTGAAAACAACAGGACATAACAAATGAATGATTTTATTTACAATAAAAGCCCCAGTCACCGAATGGATTCCACTCATGTTCAAATTCATTTTTCATGCTCAACTCAAGAGGAGAGGCAAACAAAGCATAACACAAGGGGAGGGGCAGGGAGAGGTACTAACTGTAATGGCGCCAATTTATTTAAGCCATGAACAAGGGCTGAGCAGTATTGAAACATATGAATAAAATGTTCAACAAAATTCTGAAGGTGCAATTCTTCAAAACGAGTCTGATCTCTCACCAAGCAAGCTTGGAAAGCATTTTCCTGGACTTAGAAATTAATGGATTAAACACTTTCTGACATGCTTTTTAGTGTGTTGCACCACAGAGACCAAAGCCTGCTCAGTTAACTCTTAGTACATGGCAAGAAATGGGAGTATTTGTTTAACGTGTGATGGGCGGAATTGAAGTGGTGGTTTTGTGACTGAAGCACTGCCTTGCTTCTGAAGCATACCTTTGGCCCCTGCTCACACAGTTCCTTTTCTACTACAAATGCTATCAAAAAGCAAGTGATAGGGAGATGCAGAGATAACTCAGAGGGTAAAGAACTTGTTGAGCAAGCATGAAGACATAAGTTTGAATCTCCAGAACACATACAAAATCCTGACATGATAGCACATGTATGTAATTCAATTCCAACCCTCCTATACTGAAATGGGTTAAACAGACAGGATACTACCAAAAAGCTACTCTCAAACAGGAAGAGACCTTTACATAAACATTATGGAGAATAAGGACTGACACCCGAGTTCTCCCTGAGGTCTACATGTGTGCCCACCCACAGACAGACCCATAAAGATTTGTTTTTAAGTCAATGAGTAGAATCATAAGGAAAAGGGTGCTGTTAGAGACAATAATTCAAAGATAATGCAAAGAGTGGCTTGTAAATCACTCAGCAGTGTCACACTCCCCACAGGGTGCTTGGTTATCATTGTCTAGAAATAATAAGACAACTATTGAAAGCAAGGCATTCCATTTCAAATGAAGGTACTATAAAACTTCCCTGAAAATACAAAATTGTCAACAAAAGACTTCTATTGGCCATCAATTCATTTATTCTGAACATTATTTTGTTCATTATTTTGAACATGCCCCTCCTCCCCAGACAAGCAATGCTCAACTGAAGACAGAGTAGGAACTGACAAAACAGGACGGGGAATGTCAGGGAAGTCAGCTTCAGGACAAGACAAGAAACTCTGGAATAGTGCAGAGATATGACTAGGCTGTGGGCGTGGGAAAACAGAAAAGGCAAAGTTAGCAGGCCTTTATTGCCTCGGTCCACTAACTACACCAGTGCATTTACTCTCAGTGTTTGCACTTTCTCCTTTAATTTTAGTTACTGTAGTACTCGGTATGTTAAGAAAATAGGTTAAGAACAAGTCCTCCAGGCAGAAAGGAATGATTCTATGCAGAGACAAGCAAGCGGACAGAGCTCCATTCTGTGGCAGCTTGGGATACAGGTCACAGTGCCAGGAATAGAGTCAGCAAGGGTTGAATGAACCCATGGAAGAACACATGGAATGTCATAAACAACGAGGATGTCTTTATTAAGAGGAAGAGCAAGTCTTGTTTGACCATGTGTAAGGGACACTATGACATGGTTTCCTGCCCCTGAACAGAGCCAGCAGGGTGTGGGCCTCCATGAGTGTTGAGGGTTGCCGTGGGTGTAAGGCTTATTTGTATAATGATGTACATATTTTCACATTCCTCCTTAAAGAAATGTCCTCTCTGCCAAGGTCCAGGACAGTTCTCAACTGCAGAGATGAGAGAAGCCTGGCACAATGCACTGGTTCCCAAAGCATCCTGGCTCTCATGTCCTCCTTAGACAGAAGCAGGCTCCATCTAAACAAACTGATACTTGTTAATTCTAGTAGATTTTCTCTATCCTCTTGATGTTCTCTCTCAGATATGGTAACTGATAAGGTTTCACTTTCAAAATGGTGACTCCTGGGGCACGAGTTTCATCAATTGCTCAGGATTCACTGTGGCCAGTTCCTTGGAGGAAAGCATTTTCTGGGTTTGTATCAAGACATTTTCCTAGTCTAACTGTCAAACTTTCTCCAGGGATTCAAAAGACCATGCAAAAGAAATCAAGTACTATCAAGTTATGAATGAGAACTCACAAAGCCAAGTCCACTCCACCATTAACCGTCCAGCATGCAGTATGTCTGCATGACATCACATTTTCCTAGATTAGTGCATGAAGTTTCGTTCACCTAAATTCTCATTCTCATCCCAAGTTCTCTTACTCTTGTTAACACCAATTCAAACAAGCACATGGAAAATAATGGAATTTTACCTTTATTTTTTTGACATTTAAAGGGACTTTTCTTGAAAACTTCCCTAAGACAAAATTCCCACCACAAACTTGCCATAAAACCAAAGGAAAAACTAAAAAAATGTTTTTATTTCAAGAAGTTCAGGGTCCATTTGAAGAATGCAACATAACATTAATCCAAAGCTCAAAAGCTGTTCTGTATCACGGTCATTCTAAATCATTCTGACTTGAGGTTTTCCCTTTAATAAGCAAAAAAAGCTAGTTTCTCAATATTGAATACTAAGGCTCAATCCATTGAAAAGTTTACAAAAAGACATTTAAATGTTAGAAAGAATAATTTTCACAGAACATCATTTACTCATTTATTACCTGTACATTACTTTTATAGTTTTTCAAATTATAATTAGGTAAAATTTGGGCTCGGGACGTTGAGAGTTTAGTAGAGAATCATAGTTTTATTTGATAAGGTGATTTTCTTTTTTCCCTTCAACCAAGCAAAGATTACATGACTAGGAAAAAAGTTATTCATGAAGTTCTTAAGCATTTCAAACATTTTCACTGAAAAAACTATATTTCAAAAATATCTTGAAATATTCATATAGTAAGGATTATAGTAAGGAATTCACTTCAAAGCCAAACCATAGTTGAGTGTGGAAAATACTTATTATCTTAAAACACAAAGCCTCCTTCTTGTTGTCCCTTGTATAATAAAATAAGGAGAAAGACAAAAACTTTGTGGAAGTTCCATAAAATCTACATGTACAGGAGGGATATGGTCAGCATGTTAAGGCACCTCTGCTAAGTGTCCCATCCATTCGGACCTCCACTGCAGAGGAGAATGGAGCTCCTATTAAGTCTTATAGAAGGAAAGTTCTTTGGACAAAATAAAGTAACTCAACCAGCACTCATAGTGGAGAACGGTCTAGAAACCAAAATTTATCCCAAGAGAAAATGACATTTCAAATTCCAACACAGATCACAACATTCACAACCTGTTAGATTGTCTCCAAGTAGTATCAGAAGCCACACCCATCAAGTCTCACCAATGTGACTGCTCAAACATGAGCTGAGCAAGAACAGCACCAGTAAATGAGAGTACGTGACTAGAGAAAGACCACGAGGTCTTAGGCCTACACAGAGAACTACAGGCAACTAAGGAATGTTGAGAGTGGGAGAAATGGTCTTCTCCAGGGCAGACACACCAATTGGTTATGCAATACCAAATCATCAGCCTTGAAAATATACATGAGAAAAATGAAGACCAAGGTTATATTTAAAAATACTCATGTATATACATGGATAATCTTATACACATATATAACAACAGTTAATGAAAAGTGAAGACATTCATTTGAAAGAGAAAGAGAAGTGGTATTTGGGAGGGTTTGGGGGAAGGATAGAGAAGGGGACAATGATGTACTTATATTACAATCTCACAAATAAAATGAAATGAAATAAAATAAAAGGATAAATTGAACAATATCCTTTAGGGAAAGAAACAGTCCATCTCTAATTCTCCTGTAATCCCTTAATTCCCCATCACAGAGCCACCACCCAGTTTCTAACTTTCCATTAAAATTCACAATGAATAAAAGGAATTCAGAGTGCCCATGATATTCATTGGACCAATTTTAGAAACACCTATTTATTTACACAGCTATGGTAGTGAAAAGGTCAACCAAGAATTCCCATCCAAAGCTACAGTTGCTAAGCAACCCTCCTTAGAAGTTCTGCAACACTGCTCAAGCATATTGCGGGTGCCACCAACTGGATTCAAAATAAATATGAATAACATCTTACCTGGACACTCCCAAGCAAGAGGGAGGGAGATTCCTTGCTTACCTTTTGGAGATAGACACTAAAGGCTGATTCTATATTAATTTGGTTTGCTGGCTTCAAATGCTTCTTTTACAGAAAAGGATACGGCCAGGTACAACAGGTTTCCTATTCACCAGGGCGAAGGACAGTTCAGTTTTGAGAAAAACCACAGAGGGCTTGATAAGATGTTTGCCAAATCTAAACGACATGGTCTCACAGTGAAATCTGAAAGAGGAAATAATTTAAGAAATGAACATTCAAAAGAGATAGCAACTAGGTTCATGTACCACTTTTACAAAGCAAATTCTATTAGTAAGACTCTGATGGAAAGAGGATGCCATTTAAACTGGTCCTTTTTAATTGTCCCACAGATGGAACTCCAGGTAAATCCTCCTGGAATATTCCTATCTCCCTACAAAGCTGCCTAGATTCAAGTGAATGTTGTCAAGTAGAAGCTGAAATATGGAGGACAAAGCAACCTTTTACACCTAAAGTCTCTGGCCCTTCAGATTGTCACCTCAAACTCACAAGGTCTTATTTGTTGAATACATACTTTGTCCATTGATCTTGTCATCTCTGTTAATATGCAAATAGCCATTGTGAATGAGTACAAATCTAGCTCTTAAAAGCTTCTTCTAAATGGTTTTATCTTTGTTTGTATAACAGCAATTTAACACAAGTACAAACTCTGTCTGACCTCGCCTACAATTACAAAGCACGCATTCCCTGAGAACTATTGCAATTAAATTCAAAAAATTAGAAAGAAAATGAAGGAATAAGCAAAACAGAGTTTCAGGTAAGTTCCCAGCTCTCCCAGAGTGAAATCAGATAATGAATGCTAATTTTCCCATCTCCTCCTTTTGGAGGGGGGGTGGTCCATGAGAGTGTTACACTTGGTGATGCTGTTCTTTGAGGTTTTCAAAAATTTAGGAGAAGGAGGTTGGTTGGGCGGGGCTTTGAAGGCTACACCTGCCTTCTGGTGGCTGTCTCTTTCCCTTTGCTCTCTGCCAACCAAGCTGCAGCTTGTTCACACTGTCATGACTTTCTGTAAACTAGAACTCTGAAACCTTAAGCCCAAATAAATCCTTGCTACTGCAAATCATTTCTGACAGCCAGAATGGAACAAAGCCAACCAGGCTCCAGGTATAATCTTAACTAGGTGATGCCTAACATGAACGACTCCTGAGTGACCCCTACACTTGTCTTAGTCAAGTGAACAGTCCGGAGCCACTAACTACAGAGTCAGTGGCCAGTGACCAACTTAGAAGAAATACAGGGATGAAAGATGAAGAATTATCAGAAAAAAAAAAGGATGAGGTTAGAAGATAGAAAGCTATTCTATGAAGTATACCAACAAATGCACAATGCTTTAATACAGTGAAAGTCCTGTAGGGTGGTGGATGGGAACTTGCCTGAAACTCTGGTGCTAAGGACTCAGATGGGAATACTCAGGTCAAGGACAGAGATACTAGTTTTTAAAATTCTTCAACCAACTACTAGAAATTAAGGGTCAGTAAGGCTTCAAATATTGTCTAGCCAAGTGACTTTGCAGGTATGCTCTCTGGAAAGCTATCTGAAATGTGAATTTGCATCGTCTATAGCTCCAACCATGTTACCTTGAATTTTTTATGGTTAATACAGCACCATATTCTATAGGTAGGGATCTTCTCACTGCCTGAATCTAGGTCGTAACAATCAACTCAAGTGTCCTTTTTCCCCTACCACACTTACTGCTTTGGAAGTAGTCATGGAGCACAAAGTGAAACACTCAAAGACAAATCCATCAGCTGACCACTGCCAGCGATAGATACAAAAGGCCCTTTCTTAAAGCTGAACTGTCTAGTCTGTTCAAGTGAGAAGCTTCTTCACCAGAGTTAACATGTCAGCAAATAGAGCCATAAGCCCACACCTAGTGCCATTGTCTGAGCCACTGTCTAACAATTTGAGAAGGAGCAACATCTGTGATATGTGTTTGCATTTAAGGATAATTGGACAAACTTGACTTAAGCATGTGCTCTAACTGATGGGCTGCTGTTATCTTGAGCCTTTGATTGGTACTCTCTTTTGGTCTTATTTGTCTTTTGTTTTCTTTTTTCTTTTCATCCTCTGTGCCCCAAACCATTCTATCTCCTTCCAACTCAGGGATTCACTGTCACTGGATTAATATAATCCTATCTTCTTTATAGATTTGTGTGCATGCCTTCTATATGTTAAAGATATGGAGAGCTCTCTTTTAACTTTAATTTGTATGAATTATTTGCTTTAAATCTCATCTGTTTCTTAATTGTCTTTTCCCCTCAGCATTACTAAAAATAATGCCTGGCTGCACATTTCTTCTTACAGCAAATTACTGCAGCTTTTGTGTATAGTCTGCTCCTGCTCAAGAGTTAGTTCAGCCACAATATTTTATCGAAAATAACATTGTGACTTCAATCCCAATGGTCATCATGTTGTGCTAGGACAGGGTTTTAGGTTATAATGTCACTCAGCTTTTCTAATTTTCACTTCTCAAGGCAATACCCAAAGACGGTGTTTTCCTCTGTCCTTACTATCACTTGATGCTATCTGCTTTCATGACTGATAGTTAAAATGGTAACTGAGGCACAGCTCATCCACTAGCTTTTCCTGATCTCTACCTAAGCCATTGTCACTCCAGTGCCTAAAGGAGACCAGAAAAAAGATAGCACCAGTTTGAACACTGGTATCACCATGGATAGAGGAAATATTACAAGGCCTACACCTACATTAAGAGCTATAGGCAAATAATGGTGACTGAGAAAGGGGGACCCAGTTCTCCTCCGGGTATCACTTCCAATGATAGGCTACATGATCTCAAGTGGTCAGCCCTAAAATACATAGAGCAACATGAAATGGACTGAGCAGACTGTGTTTATATGGACATGTGTGTGTGAATCTCTGTGTGTGCATGAATACATGTGTGTGTAACAATAATTAAAGAAGAATATGAAGTTTAGGCAAGGGAGAAATTTAAAGTAGAAATGAGAGAGGAATAGAGATTATGCAAATACAGTACTCATGGATAAAAATTTTAAAAATAATTAATTAAAAAATGATATCTCTTCTAACTCACTTATTACTGACTCTGCCTTCCACAAATTGCTGATTTATATACTTCATCCTCATTTTCACAAGTCATCCTCTTCCTTTTCTGATTTTCCAGGGCCCATAGAATTATAGTTACATTTTTACCATCTGTTAATTTTTCTGTTGTTGCCCTAAGGAATAAAAACCTACTCATTTTATTATAAATAAAATCATTAATTTTCTTTTGATATTTTCCTCTATGATTCATATTTAACAAAATTTCTCCATCATAAGGTCACAAATGTGAATTTGGGGATTTTTTTCTTCTATGAGCTGTTTATCTTCATTCTTAACACTTAGATGCATGCTCCATGTAAAATTTTGCATAAATTATGAAGTGTTGGGAACTGGAGAGTTTGTTCAACGGTAAAGAGTCCTAGCTGCTCTTCCTGAGGACCTGCATCCAATTCTCAGCACCCAGTAGCACACAGTTGTCTATAGGTCCAATTACAAGAGATCTGATCCTTTCACAGGTATACTGCAGGCAAAACACCAATGCACATAGAATAAAAATAAACAGAACTTTAAAAAGTAAACAAATTATGAAGCATGAAATAGTTTCACTCTTCTTTCATGAGCCAGTTTTCTTATACCAATTCCAAAGAACATTCCCATACAGACATAGGAAGGAGTCTGAAGTCCTTTTATCTTCTCTTCCTTTCTTTCTTCCTTCCTTCCTTCCTTCCTTCCTTCCTTCCTTCCTTCCTTCCTTCCTTCCTTTCTTTCTTTCTTTCTTTCTTTCTTTCTTTCTTTCTTTCTTTCTTTCTTTCTTTCTTTCCTTTTCCCCTGAGCCTATGCTGGATGCTCTAGAACAGAAACTGTCAAATTATTTTCTATAAAAGGCCAAGTGCAATGGGTTACTCAATCTCTTAGAGCTACTCACATCAGGCATGTAGCATGAGTGTTGCTATGGTTGTGTCTGTTTTCTAATAAAATGTTATTTATAGCAAAAGGCATGCCTGGATTTGGCATACAATCTGAAATTTGACAATTCCATACATAGTATTATTACTTCAAAAATTGTGTGGAGAGAATTTGGATTAGATTTAAATTTTGACAGAGAGGAGATGGGACATCATCACACTATTCAATGAACACTGCATTTGTATTGACTAATGCCATGAGGAAACTCTAGTAATGGTGTTCCTTTTACGTTTTGTATGTTCTCTCTTGGAGTTCTCCTGGACAGGTTTTGGGCTATGCTGTGGGCTGTGCCAATGCTAGAAGTGGTGTCTTATTATTGCCATAGTTGGTAACTGGTTACTCCCTGAAACTGATTTTTTTATGTTGTTCATGCAGCAGCCAGGTTATGTTCCTCCATGGTTGCTGACTGTCCCCACAGAGCTTCCTTGGTTTTCCATATAAGATTTCATTTAGAAATAATGTGATTGCTCTCACTTTAATTCTTCTACTTTTTCTCTCTTGTGAAGTCTCTGGAAATGTGTTCAAAGGTAGATGCAACAAAAGAACCCTTGTCTTATTCTTAAAATTACAATAAATGTACATAAACCTTTCTTTTTGCTATTAAGAATAATATCCATGGTAAGTTTTAGTTTAAAGAAAACTTGTATACTGAGCTAGGATAAATAAAATCTAAATTTCCTAAAGATTAATACTATTTTAAATAAACAAAATTTTACTAAATATATGTTTATATACATAATATAATTTTGTGTTCATTGTCATCAATGTAATATAATTACATTATAATTCATAAAAGTAGCAAAATTCCAGTTAAATAGTATCAAAGAAACAATGTTATGGTTGGGGGGTCATTAAACATGAGGAACTGTATTAAAGGCTCTCACTTTAGTACAGTTGCTCTAGAGTTAAGCAAAGCTCACTTGTCAAGCTGTGCCCCTTTTCCTACTGCAGGAGAAAGTTTGACAGTCACCATAATTGTTTAAGTCTCTGGTTACCTAAGTGATTTTTTTTCTTGTATTAATTGCTAGGCCTTTTCACACCAATTTTAAGTTTATTTATAAAGTAATATTTTAATGTGTTATAATATAATTGATAATTATTATTTATTTTGAATTTTATCAAAATGTGAACATTTTTAACCCATCATTCAAGGTTTATCTGTAATTTATTAAGCTTTATAAAGAGTCAAGAAAGAT